ATATAATTATTGAGAAGAAAGCATGTGTTATTGTGTGTTAATCTGTACTCTGGTATTCCAGATAGCAGTAATGTATTATTGTAATGTGTCACCATTGATTCTCACCTTTGTCAATAGTTGCTACTCAGTATTTTGTTCAATAACAAAATATGTACTGTTGTACTGTAAAAGTATTTTCCATAATACTATGCATGTAATGTTACTACTGTAAGAGAAATAAAATTAATGTTGAATAGAGGGAGAAAGCTAGGGAGTGTTGCCATGGTAGCCAGACAGTGAATATGTAATTTTCTTCTGTTGAAGGAGGAGGGATTGTTGAGGTGGTTTGGACATTCAGAGAGGATGAACCAAAATAGGGCTACATTGAGGGTGTATAAATCTGTAGTTGAGGAAAGGCGGGGCATGGGTCGCCCTAGGAAAGGGTTGGAGGTAGGGGATAAAGGAAGTTTTGTGTGGAAGGAGCTTAGACATCCAGCAAGTGGGTGTAAGTATGTCAAGAAAGCCAGTTAGCCAGACTTGAGTCTTGGAAGTGGGAAGTACAGTGCCTTCACTCTGAAAGAGGGGTGAGGATATTTGCAGTTTGGAGGGGCATCTGAACTGTTGTATCGGTGTGCCTCTGGCAAGATAATGATAGTGTATAATGGTGAAAGCATTTCTTCTTTTTCGGGTCACCCTACCTCGGTGGGAGATGGTTGGTAAGTTAAAAAAAAAATTGTATCTGGTCCTAGTGAAGTACAGTAGCTGTCATAAATATGCACGTGCACAAAAAATCACAGATAATGAGAACGCTCGTCATAAAATATTGCTTTAAAAATAAAATAATGAAATTTATATTTTTTACTTACCATAATTAGTATTTTGTAAAATCACCCTTCCTGTTGATGCACTCTGTCTCTTAGGCACTGATAGTGTTAAATTATTAATGGCATTCGAGAGTTTGGAGTTAAAGGAAATGTCCATGTCATGAAACCAACACTTAATAAGGGTTCAAGTTTTCTCTATTGGATTTAAGTTCAGTGAATTACCACAGAAACCTCAGTTATTTAGCCAGTCTTCTGTCTTGGCAGAGTGGTAAGGGGCACCGTCTTTGAAAGAGTAAAAAACGACAATACTGTGACTGGAATAGACAAATAACCTGCACATAAGAGAATGAAACTTATGATGACAAAATGTTCCTGTCACTGCTCAAAACTGTCAGGCAAATAATCTGCTATAAGCTGTATATACCAGCCGATATTCATTGGAAACATTCTTTTCCAGTGTCTAACTCTCCTAAGCCACAACAACTAAATCACCCCCAGACCATGAGGGAGGCCGGGTGCCTGACTTTGGTTGTGTATTTAGAAGCAAAACAGTCTCCATACATGTTCAAAACTTTCACCACCTGTTATACAAAATGTGGTTTTGTCATTCCAAACCACTAACTTCCATTTTTCGTTATCTCATTTACTGTATTTGTTACATTAAATGGAATAAGAAAAGTGGCTTGTGCACAGCCCTGAAACTATGATACTTCAACTTTGCTTAATGGCCAAAATCTCTGTCCCACCACCATCACAGAAATATGTTACCCATTTCTGCACAGCCTTTACTTTCATACCCTCACAACTGGCAATCAATATCTCTCTCTCTCTCTCTCTCTCTCTCTCTCTCTCTCTCTCTCTCTCTCTCTCTCTCTCTCTCTCTCTCTCTCTCTCTCTCTCCTCTCTCTCTCTCCTCTCTCTCTCTCTCTCTCTCTCTCCTCTCTCTCTCTCTCTCTCTCTCTCTCTCTCTCCTCTCTCTCACCTCTCTCCTCTCTCTCTCTCTACTCTCTCTCTCTCTCTCCTCTCTCTCTTTCTTCTCTCTTCTCTCCTCTCTTTCTCTCTCTACTCTCTCATCTACTCATGCTCTCTCTCTCTCTCTCTCTCTCTTCTCCTCTCTCTCTCTCTCTCTCTCTTCTCTGTCTCTCTTCTCTCTCTCTCTCTTCTCTCTCTCCTTTCTCTCTCTTTCTCTCTCTCTCTCTCTCTCTCTTTCTCTCTCTCTCTTTCTCTCTTTCTCTCTTTCTCTCTCTCTTCTCTCCTCTTCTCTCTCTCTTCTCTATCTCTCTATCTCTCTCTCTCTTCTCTATCTCTCTCTCTTTCTCTCTCTCTCTACCTCCTCTCTCTCTCTATCTTCTCTCCTATATTCTCTCTCTCTTCTCTCTTTCTCTCATCTCTCTCTCTCTCTATCTCTTCTCTCTCTATCTCTCTCTCTCTATCTTCTCTCTCTATCTCTCTCTATCTCTTCTCTCTATCTCTCATCTCTCTCTATCTCTCTCTCATCTCTCTATCTCTCTCTATCTCCTCTCTCTCTATCTCTCTCTCTCTTCTCTCTCTTCTCTCTCTCTCTCTCTATCTCTCTCTCTCTACTCTCTCTCTCTCTATCTCTCCTATCTCTCTATCTCTCTCTATCTCTCTCTATCTCTCTCTATCTCTCTCTATCTCCTCTATCTCTCCTCTCTCTATCTCTCTCTCTCTCCTCTCTCTCTCTCTCTCTCTCTCTCCTCTCTCCTCCATGCCTTATGCACTGCTTTTATCACTACTAGTCTATCATGTATAATCTGCAGGCCATGCACCATTTTCACAAATAATGGTAGAAAACAAAATACAAACACTAATAAATACTAGGGAGTAAATATTCAATAATGCCCCCCTGTCCCCTCAAAGAGTAAGTGACCACTGAGAATATTCTCTCCACTTACATACCCAGCAACCCCCCAAGGGTATGATAATTATGAAAAAATTTATCCTTGAGGGAAATTTTGGCATGAAGCACTTAAAATATTTGCACACAAGCCTATGCATGTGCATATTTATGATGTACTGTACGGTAAGGTATTTCCATTCTGAGGTTTACCTGCAAGGTTTAGTGTTCTAGTCATGACTATATCTGTGTTTACTTCATTTTTCTTGCATTCTTGTTTACTGTTTTTTCTGACTTGTTTGCTGTACTGTACACTGAGAAGACAGGTGTAAAGCATTTTTGTCAGTGGTGATGTTATTTATAAATTTTGTAACTTCCAGCAAGCGGTGCGTGAGCATGTTAGATAGGAGTGAATTGAGACGAATGGTTTTTGGGACCTGACATAGTGTTGGAATGTGAACTGGGTAATATTTTGTGAAGGGATTCATGGAAACTGGTTAGCTGGACATGAGTCCTGAAAATGGGAAGTACAGTGCCTGCACTTTAAAGGAGGGGTTTAGGTTACGGCAATTTGGAGGGACTTCTAAACTGTTGTATCTGAGCACCTCTGCAGCGACAGTGATTATGTATGAGTGAAGGTGAAAGTGTTGATTTTTCTTTCTTTTTGGGTCACCCTGCCTTAGTGGGAAGTGGCCAAGGTGTTGAAAAAACAAATATTGATAAAATATTTTGCTATTTAAATACAGTGGAACCCCGGTTAACGATATTTTTTCACTCCAGAAGTATGTTCAGGTGCCAGTACTGACCGAATTTGTTCCCATAAGGAATATTGTGAAGTAGATTAGTCCATTTCAGACCCCAAACATACACGTACAAACACACTTACATAAATACACTTACATAATTGGTCGCATTCGGAGGTAATCGTTATGCGGGGGTCCACTGTATGTAGGTAGTTGTGTTTGTGGTGGTGGCTGATGGCACTGGTATATATGACATTTATACCAGGCTTTTGGAAGGCAGTTCCACTTCATGACTCACAAAATTGTGAGTCATGGTGATGGCTTTGAGGGGACTTGAGCTAGAGTTCATCACGGCCATGCTGGAAGGAGATTCATCTGTAAAAAAACTCATTTTGTGGTCACAGTGGGGCCCATGCTAACCTCCCTATGATGTATAAATATACCTAGTTAGATTGATCTTATTGTAGCCAGCCAGCCCAGTGGCTTATGCACTGACCTGGCATTTTACAACTCACTTGCCATAAGTTCTAACCCCACCTGTACTATGGTTAGTTTTCACTTGTTTGCACATGTGATTGAAACTTTGCTCTTAGCTTTTGTTTATTGCTTCAGTTTAATGTATTAAATGGTAGTGGAATTAGTTTGTCTTCACATGGATTCCTCATTTCCTTACAGTAATTTGTTTTATGGTGTTTGCAACAAAGTTGGCTGGATGTAGTAAGATTCATCCAATTAGGTATATTGCAGAATATTGAAAATTCGAACTATGATCACATGACTTAAGGTTTTCTGATGTACAGTACGTAGTTGGGTTTGAAAGATATTCGCTTTATTTTATCCTATTCTTAATATCCTAATTTATGTACATGTACATTAGTTTCAATTGCAGAACAGTATTGTTTTGAAGTTGTCAAGATATAGGTTAATGAGATTATGCCTATTACTACTGAATCTGTCTTGGCTGTTTTATGAAAAGAGAGTAAATAGTGGTGTTCTCTGTAGAGGTAGTGAGATACATAGAGGAAATTGGGTTATTGATGGTAACATTGGCATTTAAACTTTGTAAAAGTTTATTTTTGGTAAAAGCAAAGTATCTTGTTGAGATTTCTCACCATGAAAGCTTTATTTTGTGTGTGCATGCTTGAGTAATTTGTTTTGTGAAAGTAACATATCTGTTCCTACGCAGACAGCTATGTGGGAAGAACATGCAGTAGGTGTGAAGTTGAATAAGAAGATTGACTAAGAGGAAGTTGTGTTGTAGGTAGTTTTTCAGTGAGTTTGATAAAAAAAATGATGAACAGAGGATATAAAAGATTTTTAACAAAAGTTAAATAAAAAAAAGTCACTTTGTGAATGAATATGAAGATAAAATGGGAATGAGTAAGCAAATTATTTTTATTAATTTTGCCAGCAACCAGAACAAAACTGCTGTACTGTACTGATGTATGGTACAGTACTGCTGAGGTTAATTCTCATCTTGTTGTATATATTTTGCAAATACTGTACAGTATTCTGAAGTATAACCACATATTTATTTGTAAAAAGTTGTATTCTCTACTTAAAATGTAAATATTCAGTATGTTTATTTTTTTTCAGCTACCAGAAGGCTTAGCTTTTGGAGTCGAGGCAGAAGTAGCAGATCCACACATGTCTGCAGGAGCAATTGTTTTCCTCTCTATTGTGGTCTTCACAATCATCAGTATCTACTTCACTCACTTGGTCATGGTTGTAAGTATGGCAAAAATGCTTATTAGTACTTAGTTTCTAATTGGAACATCTTTTTTCCATTATCAGCCATTTCCAGTCAAAGTAGGGTTTTAATCTATCATTTATTATAATTATTTATTCCATGCAATACATTTATGTCTGTAGACATATGTAGGAGAGAGGGAGATTATATTCCAGTAAAAGTAAGCCTTAGACAGGAATGTGTGATGTCACTATGGTTGTTTACAATAATTATAGATAGGGTTGTAAAAGAAGTGTTAGCAGGGGTGTTAAGAAGTGTAGGATTGAAAGATAGTGAATCTGGTATGGAGGGGGACCTGGTACAGTTGCTTTTTGCTGGTGACACTGTTTTTTGGGAGATTAGAAGTTGCAAAATTGGTAAATGAATTTGGGAGGTATGTGAAAGAAAGATATCAAAAGTAAACTTAGGAAAAAGCAAGGTGATGAAAGTATCAAAAAATATATGCAGTCAGAGATTGGATATTATGTTGGAGGGAGGGAATATGGAGGAAGTAAATGTGTTCAGATATTTGGAAGTAGACTTGTTCGTGCATGATTTTATGAAAGATGTGAGCCATAGAACTGACGAAGGTAAAAAGATGGGTGGTGCATTTAGGCATCTGTGGAGACAAAGAACTTTATGCATGGAGGCAAAAAGGGGGATGTACCAGAGTATAGTGCTACCAATACTGTGGTGGAAAGTACAGTGCCTGCACTCTGAAGGAGGGCTGGGGATGTTAAAGTTCAGAGGGCCATCTGAACTGTGATGTCAGTACACTTCTGGCAAGGCAGTGATTGAATGAGTGACTGTGAAAGCATTTCCTTTTTATGGGGGAGGGGTCACCCTGCCGTGGTGGGAGGTGGCTGGTTTGTTAAAAAATGTTCTAATGACAAAATACTGTTCTGTATAGTGGTTTGATACTGTATAGCACTTGTGATAATTCAAAGAAAAAATGAAAGATGAAGATGGCACAGTATTTTTTTTTTAAAGCTGAATTATTCAGTGGACAAGGAAGCCATTTGCACCAACCTAGTACTCAAGTGTACAAGCATGCAGAGTTCAACATCCAGAGATTATATCCCAGTTTAGTAAGCCCTCCATTAAACAGACTTTGTAAAGACAATTAAAAGCTGTTGGGTCACTAGATTTAGAAACAGTGGACAGAGTTCCTAAGTTACAGAATTACTCATTATTGTTATAATCAGAGGAAAAAAAAAAATTATCTACAGCAATTGTCATTACTAGCCACCCACTTCCTCCAATTCGTTAAATAGAGGGTTTACTGTATTATAATTCAACTTTAACCCCTTCAGGGTTCAAGGCCCAAATCTGAAGTGGTGCACCAGTGTCCAAGAATTTTCAAAAAAACAAAATTTTTATTTTTTCTTATGAAATGGTAGAAAATCTTTTGTGAAGGTAATAAAACAAAAAGTACGAAATTTGATGGAAAATTGACGAAATTATGCTCTCGCAAATTTTGATGTGTCAGCGATATTTACAATCGGCAATTTTGCAGACTTTGACTCCCATTTTAGGCCAATTACATTATTCCAGTCAACCAAATTCTTAGCTATTTCACTTGTTTTACCTCTATTCTATCGATTGAGCACAAGAAATCGCCAAGTCAACTGTTTCAACTACAAATTAAAGTGATCGGAAATTGTTAATTTGGCCAATTTAACACAAAGTTCAAAATATTCCAATTTCAAAATAGGGTCCAGAATAAACAATGCAGACATTCCTGGCACTAAACTAACATTTCCTCTGTTCATTAGTTATGTTTTGAGGCTTTACAAATAAATTCCATTTTGATTTTTTATTCACATAATGAATTTTTATTCACACCAAAAAATAGAAGATTTACTGTTATGCAATGCTGTAATAATTGTATAAATATCATCACCATATTTGTGAATGCATATTAGACCCACCAGCTGGCGTGTATTAGATGTGTGAGGTCGTTTGTTTACTCTTGAATATCGGCAAAAATTTAACATTTCTGCTACTTTGAGCTCAGTTTCAAGCCATTTCCAGTGCTAAAACCAATCAAAATCATCTCTATTTCTGTAATATGTCTTCCATTCTATCAAATGAGACCAAGAAATCGCAAATACAACTATAAAAAACATAGGAAAAAACACTGCAAAGTCGCTGTTTTAATCGAAAAATCATGATTTCAGTTTTTTTTCTCTCATACACAGTGTGCTGCAGGATCTGTTTTATGTGGTGCACACATACCACATAGATGTATTCTCTCATATCTAGGCCCAAATGTACCACTCAGTTTATCAGAGTGAGCTGAGCTCATGACGTAGATCTACGGCTTGAACCCTGAATGTTAAGCCGTAGATCTACGGGACGGACCCTGAAAGGGTTAATCCGTTCCATGACCTTGCTCGCAACTGGATTTGCTCATTTGCAGAGTCAATTTTCCTCATTTAAATTAATTGAAATGCAATTAATCCGTTCCATTGGAATTCTGTACTTCAATAATTTCGCTAATATCAACTCTACGGCTTACTTATCTATCTCACTTCATCTAATATGACATAATAAACAATATAAATAACATAGAAACCTGATATATACTCTAAAATGAATAAAATATGTCATGTAGTGGTATGGGCGGTGTTGGCAGTGGACGAGAGTTTGTCTGGACACCGGGCAAAATACTTCATGGTATAAACCTTGGTAATAATTACTGACAAGTTGGTTTAGAAAGACACGTAAGCAAACACTATAACATATTTATTAGAAAACGTTTCGGTCCTGGGACCTTGATCACTTCTAACATACAGAGGTAGAAAGACATTATATATATAGGCGGAGAGTGAGATGTGACGCACGTGACCTGAGGAATGTCATAAGAACATAAGAATGGAGGAACACTGTAGAAGGTCTACTGGCTCATGCGAGGCAGGTCTTTATCAAAACAACCTCTACCTATGATGAGGACGGGTAGATGATGAAATCATGTGACTCCTGTGTTGTTGGGTTGGTGCTGCTTAAGTATCATGTATGCCAATGTTTTTGAAATTTTGTAGTTTCCAGTGTTGTGTTCTATAGTGTCGGTGACAAAGCCTTTTTGAAATTCGGAGTCTCCTTTTGGAGACTCCGAGTTTCAAAAGGGCTTTGTCCAAGGAATTATCACTACTGCAGCTACTGAGCCTTCAAGACCGGTCATTCCCAGAAGATACATCCAAGCACTCAGGAACTTGGCCAACAACGATGATATCGTCATTACAACCGCTGACAAAGGAGGTGGTGTGGTGTTACTCAACACTGTCGACTACAACAATAAAGTCTTAAATCTTCTCAATAATGCCAACACATACCAGCCTGTATCGGAATCAGTGCTACTTCAAAGTACCCAGACTTTCCTTCAAAAGGCTCGTAGCATCTTACGAAAATCAGAACAAGGCAAAAAACTACTTAAACTTTTACCAGGTCAACCGAAACCAGCACGCCTGTATGGCCTTCCTAAGACACACAAACCTGGCATCCCACTATGGCCTATCACTTCGGGCATAGGGAGTGCACCACACAGACTAGCCGGCCACCTTGCCAAATACCTTTCAGCGCTTCTGGGCACCATCAGTCAAGCCTACCTCAAACACTCAGGTGACCTTCTCTCCCGAATTTCCAACCTGAATGTCAAAAACAAAAGCATGGCTTCCTTCGATGTCACAGCCCTCTTTACCAACGTTCCTACTGACGCTGCAATCAACATTCTCAGACAGAGGCTCACTGAAAACCACGACCTCCCTTTACCTCTTCTAGATTTCATCAATCTAGTGGAACTTTGTGTTAATTTCAACTTCTTCAAGTATCAGGACAACTGTTACGAACAATGCTTTGGGATGGCAATGGGCAGCCCGCTCAGTGCTGTGCGTGCTTGCCAACCTCTTCTTGGAAAACCTGGAGACAGAGAAATTCAGCACCCTCATTCCCAACACCGTTACCTGGCTAAGATACGTTGATGATATATTGGTTTTCTATCCGAGACGTCTCAATATCCAGGCCCTTCTCAACAAGATCAATGCAGTTGAACCATCAATAAAGTTTACACTTGAACTCGAAAATGATGGCAAACTTCCTTTCCTCGACGTTCTACTGTGCAGATCTCCCGACAGTGACAAACTTCTCTTCAAAGTGTATAGAAAACCTACCAACAAGGACGATCTTATACACTTTTATTCACACCAAGACACCCGCACTAAGAGAGGAGTCCTCATTGGCTTCTTCTTGAGACTCTTCGCATCTCCAGCCCTTGTTTTCTAGAAGAAGAATGCACTTAAATAACACAAGCCTTTACACGTCTTCAGTTCCCATCTTTCTTCATCCGAGATTGTAGACTCAAGGCACAAGCTATCCTCAACAAACCGCCCATGGAACAGCCCCCTAAACAGTTCATAGTACTCCCATGTGGCGATGTTGCCACGAATACTCGCCGGGCACTTGCTATGAGTAACATCAACGTTTCCACCATAAACACATCATCTATCAAAGACCTCACTACGAAACGCAGCCCCACACCTCTAACTTCTACAGCAGGCGTCTACACTATCCCCTGTGGGTTCTGTCCTAAGAAATATGTAGGCGAGACAGGCAGAGATCTTGCAGTCCGCCTGAATGAGCATCGAAATGCCTCTAACAGAGACGATGTAAGGTACGCCTGTGTCCTCCACAGAGACTCCACGGGGCATTTGATGAACTGGAATGAGGCACAACTCGTTCTCACCGAACAAGACCTCAGACGCCGACGGTGCCTAGAAGCCTCACTAATCGCCTCTCCAACACTATAGAACGCAACACTGGAAACTACAAAATTTCAAAAACATTGGCATACATGATACTTAAGCAGCACCAACCCAACAACACAGGAGTCACATGATTTCATCATCTACTCGTCCTCATCATAGGTAGAGGTTGTTTTGATAAAGACCTGCCTCGCATGAGCCAGTAGACCTTCTACAGTGTTCCTCCATTCTTATGTTCTTATGACATTCCTCAGGTCACGTGCGTCACATCTCACTCTCCGCCTATA